AAGAGAAGAGAAGAGAAGAGAAGAGAAGAGAAGAGAAGAGAAGAGAAGAGAAGTACTATCTTCCCCAAACTGCTGTGCCCACCATGTCTGGGACTACAGTTGTTATCTACTTCAACCATTATGGCAAGCAGAAGAGCAATTGCTACAAACCATAATAAAGGAAAATCTGGAAGACTGCCATCTCCTCGACCTGTTCAGTTGCCCATGTGTCCATAGCTATACAGAACTTCTACTTCAGTAAAATGTCTTCTACTGGCTGAAAGAAGCACCTTTGTTTCTTTGAATTGCATAAGTTCTGGCCTACTATTGTCATAGAATGTGGGGAATATATGAAAAACATAGATTTGTTTGCTTTTCAGATGTCAAAACTATAAAAGAAGAAATAGCCATATCATATCAATAAGAAATGCACACAGAATTGAACATACCAAGTAGCCAGAGAACCATACAGCTAGGGAGTTTCAGCCTTAAGGTTTAAAATGAAATTTTGAAATAATAAGAAGCCTTGTCTAATATAGAAACACAATGTATTTATCTAAAAAGTGACCTTGAATTTTAGGCAATCCACCCACATAGGAAGATCCGACAGAACAAATTTTTACCAGCCTTCATGACCACATTCTCAGCAAGTTTACAATAATCCTCTTGTGTAAATATAAGCAGAAAAACTATTATTTTCAGTTAAATAGAGCACACATGTATATACACACAAATAAAAGGTACACTATAATTTTTTAAATAAAAATTACAAATAGCAATACAAGTCTTAACATATTTGCCAGTAATGAAGATATTAGCCAAAATGCAGTAAATGATCAGTAAAATAAGGAGAAAATTAGCTGGAGAAAAATTGCAAAACTAAATGCATTAAATGTTTGTCATTCAAATTTTATTGCTGGCAACATGGCCTATCAGTAATTTCTATTTGGTGTAACATTACACGGTCTTTTCAGCTGGAGTCACAAGTCTTAGAAAGCCCTAAAAGGGGTAAATAGCTGCATGATCAGTGAACCCCAACCCTGAAACCCTGAAAGCAGGGAGGGAGAGAACCAGACCCAACTCTGCTATTTTAAAAAGGCATCATTCCAAAACAGGTCACTTTTAAATGTTAGTGCTATTAGTTATTTATATCTTTCCAGAAGTAACACTGTGCATTTATAATGAAGGCAAATTAGATTTCCAAGAATGAATCCCCCTTGTTTCTGATTCATCAGTTATATGATGTGAATTTTCCACAAAGGAAGGTCATGTCCTAGATTTTCAAAAATAATCCCTTTACAGTATATAATCCCTTTACTTTTTTTCCACAGCATCATACAATAGCAATCATATCATTACCAAGTAACAGTAGTATTTTCAAACTGGTTTTTTGTGTAGCATCAAAATAGCAAAAAGGGCCAACACAAAAGTATATAAATGCAGTTATACATCAGCAAGCATAGTGTCTTTAAAATAACGTAAGCAAAAAATACAGATGTATGGCCTCAGAAGTTGACAGTGGAAGAGACAGCAGGGAGAGAAGGCTGCAAATGCATGTTCAGATCCCTCAGTTGCAATACTTGACATATTTATTTGGGAGTAAGCCCAACAGACTTCAGTAAGAATTGATTCTAAATAGAAACATCTAAGATTGCGACTGAGATTGTTTCAGTTCACGGCAACTGAAGATAGCACAATCCTAGCCAAGCTTACTCTGAAATATGTCTTATTCTGTTCAGTGGGATTTACTCCCTACCCAGAAACATCAAAACATTGTATTCCCAGCAGGAGAGAAAAACTCACTGAATACAGTCTAAATTAACACACATTAAATTTAAACATATTAAATTTAAAACCTACTTACCAGGAAGAAGCGATGGCTCCTTGGTAGAAAGTTAGACCTCTTCTGCTGTTTTTTGTTTTTTTTTAATAGTCTATAAAGGAATCACAATTCTTTGCACTGGTTGCAGGGAATGCTTTAATTTCTTCCTCCCCAGCTTCATCAGAAAAATGGGTGCTTTAGAAGTCAATACTGTATTCTGAGTAAAAGAAAAAAGTTGTAGGCATATCTTCAAATCATCCATTTGGCAAATATTTGAGTGACACTATTCTTGGCTCTTACGTAACACTAAGTAATTGAAACCATCTGATAAACAGAGACAATATGGGTCACTGCAAGGTGTTTGTTCCTGGCCAACAACATCCATATTACATTTATCATTTTCAAGATTTCTACATTGTGTAATCTATAGTCACCTCTGTTAAACTACTGTGGTTCTACAAATGCAAATACAACCCCCTTCTAAGGAAACAATGTCATTTGGGATCAACATCAATTCATGAACACAGCTTTTAATACTGTTGGCTGAGATTCTGAAAAGCCCTGGGAAACTTTCCATTATAAAATATATCAGAAATAAACAACAGTTTGATCAGCAGACTTTCTTCCATTTCAGCCATTTTAAATCAAGAAGTCAAATATCATTGCTGGCAATGGCAGAGCTTTTAACAAACCAACATCTCAAGCCTTGGAACGTTCTCTTCTGTAATATATTACAGTTATTATAAAACATATTTTGAAACAGGTTAAAGAAATAGGACATTCATGCAAGAAAGCAGACAAATTATCCAACATTTCACACAAAATATCATTCAAAGCATTTTGCTCATACAGAGTTAGGTGGACCTTGTTTTGAAGCCAGATGGATAAATGTGCACTACTTCTGCAAAACACCACTAGGTCTCTTATGGCCTCATTTCAAAGGAAATCAAACTCAAACTCAAATAGCACAGAAGCTGGGAAACTTCTTACCACTTGATTAGTTAGGGTGGACATTACACAACTAAGTTATCTCTTTAAAAATAGCAAAATGTTGTTTATTATGTGTAAACTCTACCCAAGGATGGCCAATAACAGTTACTGATGAAGTTGGGTGTTATTTTTACTTGATGTTATTTTGTACAGTACATTACACCTATTTGCCACAATTTACATTCTTAGGCATTGGAGCCATCAGTATGATTAAGACAATGCCCCTTCAGTCTTCAGATTCTCTGTCATCTCTTTCTATGTATTACCTAAATTTCTGCACCATAGTGTTACAGTCACACCATTAATACTAGGTTTGAAATACTTGTCGATTTTAGAAATTTAGTGATTTGATGTATTGTCTTAACCATTCGTATGTTGCCATTTTAGCATTATATATAATTTTATATAATAGTATACATCTTACATAGATTTATATACTTGTATTCATAATTGATTTTGAAACTATCTATCATCTGTCTGTCTGTCTGTCTGTCTGTCTGTCTGTCTGTCTATCTATCTATCTATCTATCTATCTATCTATCTATCTATCTATATTAATGGTATTGGTACTGTGATGTTACATTTGTGCTAGCACCTTAAACTCTAGTTATTCTTATAATATGTAAGTTAAACTATTGATATAATGGGGTGGTTTTAATTTTAGTATTGTATGTAAATCTTGCTGGTCAATTACCAAAATAAAGGACTGACTAATCATTTGTCATTGGTTGTTTATATACAATGAATTCAGAATTCAGTAGAAATCTGAATATGGTCATAATAGTTTAACCATTTCACCGCACTGCCTGTCCCTGAGGCACAGAGCATAGGAAGACCAGTTTTCAGGTAGAACTCTGGAGGACTGTTTGACAGGAGCAAATCAGGTGTTTTGGTATTGCTTTGCTGCCATCAAATTACTGTCTCAGCTCAGACCCCATGGCCCTATCTAATTCCCCAAATGCCATCCTCAATCCATTATAAGGCCAGTCTGCCCCACCCAATCAAGCTCCAAGCCCCCATGCACTGCCCTTTAGTCCCTAAATTTACCTTCTGCAATCCTTGGTCTGAATATTTGACATGGCAGGCCTATGTGCACAGCAAAGCTGTCAGTGAGTTACACATGTAAGAGTAGTCTCCACTTGCCTGCATGTCACTTTAGTACCAAAAGATAATCTAGTTATCTTTCAGCAGTATGACTGTGTAACAATGTGATTTGGAGCTCTGCCCAAGCTTCTCTCTCATAAGGGCCAATTCACTGGCATTTTAACTCTTAGCATCAATCCAAAATTAATTAATAGCTTAGATTAACTTGAAGAACTTGTTTTTCTTTTCCTTCATAATTTTACACTGCCTGGCATGCTGTCTCAGTACATCTAAGAAACTCTAAGAAAGTGGGGCGAAGCCATTTGCAGCTGAATTCCTGGCCTAGGTGCTATAGTTAGCTTTCTGGACCATGTAAAATGGAAAGCAATTTAAAAAATCTCCAACTAATGTTTTCTTCTGTGTCATAAAAACACATTATAATGCCAGGCATGTTTTCACTTGGCTTCTAAAAAAAATGAAATACCAAAGCTGTGAATAATTTTCTGGAACATCCACAAGGCGTGGCTTCTGTAATAAATGACAGCTGGCAGAAAGACAGTATAGTGAGCACTGAAAAGCAAGCCACAGACTAACATATCCTAGATTCTGGCAAGGGGAAAAACAGTGGTCCTTCAGATGTTGCTGAACTACAGATCCTCTCAGCTTTAGCCAGCATAGCCAACAGTGAGAATTGTATACCAGCAACATCTGGAGGGCCAAAATATTTTTCTCTTGCTATTTGTTTATTTGTTGGATGTTTGGTTTATAAGGTTTATAAGCCACTCCAATCAGCCAACTCTGAGTGGCATATAATTCCTCCAGTGTACAGTTTGGGATTAATAACATACCCAATCACATTTAAAACATGTTATAAAGGGTTATATTCTTATTGTGGATATTTTTATTTCTGCAAACAATGGAGAGTCATAAGATTGCAACAGTTCAAAAATCTGACCAATAACTCTATACTGATCCTGTTGAGTGTGTTTGCATTTATCCTCATCTGCAAAAATCAAACCAAAACAGAATAAAGGAAAAATTCAAACCGCTTGCCTTGTAGAGATGAATAGGACAGGAATGAAGCCACAAGGACTGCTTTCCTTCTCTGGCCTTAACCTGCTTCTGAAAGGTCCTTATTTATTGCTGTTGCTCTGGAATTAATTGCAAATGTCTTCTCTTTCACCTAACTGTACCTTTGTTGGTCTGGTGTCTTTGAGGTGTCTGAGATTGCTCTTGTAACATTATTGGTTCTAGTTGTTTCAGCTTGCACTTGAGATCCAGGATGTCTTTTGGTAAAGGATCCATTGTATAATAGGCTTTGGAGGCTGTTTTTCCATCTGATGCATGTGGTTCCTCAAAAGCAGGTCAGTGAAAAATAATTGATAATAACTAAGTACTTATTATTCCCAAGTTTACAAATATCAGCTCCAATTCTTTTCCAGGGCATATCTGGTATAACCATCAGTGGTTCTTTTTTGCTAAGGTTTATTCTTTTGGAAAAAACCCATAACTTGCTTCAACTATTTTTAAGATGTTGACTGAACCAGTCCACCATGCACTTATTCATCACTTAGTGATGACTCAATGGACATCATGAAGTTTTTACACCACCCACTTCTTGCATCTCAACTGGAATAACAATTCCATAAGTGAAGAGAATGTGTCTGTACACCTTTTTAAATGTTTCCCTCTCTAAGAATGGGTTGGGGGAAGATATATGGAGTATATGTGAGGGACAAGGATTTTATATAAAGTTCAATATTGGTTATAGTTGTGGGTCAGAAGCAGTAATATGGTGGGTACACTGTAGAAACCAATCAGAAATAGGCTTTGAGTCATGTCATACTGGCATGTGACTTTCCAATTCTAAAAGTTGAATAGAATCTGCTTGATTATGTGCCATCAAGCTGATGTCACACACATATATAGATCTTCTTCAAGATTCTCCGACTTCAACTGGTCAGTCAAATCTTCCAACGGTACACCGTTGCTGCTGTAACTGACTCCATCCACCTTGCTAGTGGTGGTATTATTATTATTATTATTATTTTATTCTGCCTTTTTTATATATAACTCAAAGCGGCAAATACTCCTGCCTCCTATTTTCCTCACAACAACAACTCTCTGAGTTGGGTTGGGCTTAGCAAGAGTGACTGGCCCAAAGTTACCCAACTAGCTTTCATGCCTAAGGGATTATAGACCTAGATTATAGAAAGCTAGGTCTTGCCATAATGTGTTCAAAATATGGTAATTTGAACCTGGTTACTTGTGCTCTAAGTGAGAACTTTGAAATGGTTTTTCTATGAGCCATTTGTTTGTTTCCTTGGCTATCCTTGAGGTTCTCCTGAGTCTTCTCCAACACCAAAATTCAAAAGGATCAATACTCTTTCTATCCTCTTTTTAAAAGTTTAACTTTTACTTCCATAGAGCGTCACAGGAAAAACCATTGCCTGCATGGTTCTGATCTTTATATATATAAACTCATCATGGAATCTGAATATCTTTTCCAAGGCCTCCATTGTTCTTCTATCAAATGCTAGTCTGCAGCATATTTCTTGACACCTGGTTACCTTACTGCTGATCCTAAGA